CGGCCACGCCGGGGCACACAGCCCGGAGCATCCCAGCGCAGGCAACCAGCTCGTCCCATCCCGAGCGCCGGAGGAGACGCCGGCTTGCACCACGCCTCAAGGTAAAGGTTTTGGCTTCTTTGGGTTGCTTTGGCATTACCTGGAGTGAAAATGGCAACCTTTGGGGACGGGGGTTATGGATTTCCTCACAAGTTTTGGCAGAAAACAAGAGGGACTTGTAAGCTGGGGCGTAGGTGTTGCTTCCTAAGGGAAAAAATCAAGAGCGTGGCTCTTTGCTCCAGCGCGTTCTGGGTGTGGGGTGATGTGCGGTGCGGTTAGCGTGCCCGTGGGGATGCGGTGCTGGGCTGCTTCAGGGACTTGGAAAAGCAGAGAGAGCTGGAGGAAAGCCCCCTGCTACTTCACCTGCCTGCGCAGGCAGCAGTGCCGCCGGGATGCCAGACCAACCCAGCAGCCACTGGAAACGCTGCTCTCCGTGGGGTTATCTTACTGGGGTGCTCTGCTTCGGGGTGGTGGGAGGTTTTATGGGGCTGTGCGGAGCACGCTGGGTGGGAAGCACTTTTCTTACAGCCCACGGTCTCACGGCACAGCCCATCTGTGGTGCCAGCTCTTGTCACGGCCACCGAGCCCAGCTGAGTAGTGGATGATGTTACTTGTGGGAACAGGGACTTTGGAGGAGCTTTCCTACTCTTTAATGGTGCTTAAGACAAAAAATCTGCAAGAACGTGGCCAGGTATTTCAAATCCGAAACTAAAGGGAAGTTCCTGTACAGGAGATGCCAGGAGGTGGAACGAGGACAAATCCTTGGCTTGTTTAACGACATGCCAGGCTGAGCACCACGTGCCGGGATGGCAAGGCTGTGTCCGTTGGAAGGGCTTTGTGGGGCCAAGTTACAGCCAGGGCCATGTTCAAATACTTTGCTCTAGTGTGCAAATGCTTTGCTCCCTGTTGCAGCCGCAGGGACCACAACCGACATGAGGGCTGCGTTCCTGGTGCTGCTCCTCTGGGCCGTGGCCTGCGCTCACCCCGTAAGTACCCACCGGACAGGTACTCAAACCCCAAATCCCGGGGCTTTCGCCCAGCCAAGGGGCACCCAGCACTGATCAGATGTCTCCTGGATGTGTTTAGGTGCCCGACCATGAGCCCGCCCGCCGCGGCACCCAGCAGGAGGTAAGCTGGGGGATGCGCCAGTCCCGCAGGCAGCAGCTGCTGATGGACTGAGTTTGGGATGGGGATGCCAGCCCCGGGCAGGCATCCTTGGACCGGGCACCGAGGGAAGGAGCTGCCGCTTCTGTGGGTCTTTGAGCTTTGCCCGTCTACTCGGGTCTTTTCAAGCTGGGTTGGTTTCACCTCAATTTGCTTTGCCTCCCTGTGCACGTTCCCAGTTCACCTGATGCGTTCTGCTGCGTTGGTCCTGACAAAAGCAGTTTCTGTGCTCTCAACCGTCATGGTTTGGGCTTTTCTGGGTTGCCCTTTTGTTGGTGGCTACTACTTTTTTTTTTTTTTGCATCGGCAGCAACAACTGAAGGGCTGAGGTGCGAGCGATGAAAAAGGCTTGAGCGCTTGCATGGCTTAGGAGCGATTTATCATCCCGCAGCAGTAAACGTGCAGTGATGTTTAATAAACCAAAGCACCGTGTCATGTTTTGCCTCCAGGACGCAGCAAGCGAAGATTACATCAACGAGCTGGGCAACCTCCTGGGTGGTGGAGATGGCAGAAGTCCTCCTGCCAGTGCCGAGAGGGGGGACAATGCCCTTGCCGGGGACTCGGCGGGTGGGAACGCCGTGGGTGAGGAGCTGGGCGAGCACGGTGGCCCAGACAAGGAAGACGGAGTTGGGGAGGCTCAGCACCTGAACCGGGTGGACCACGAGGCCACAAGTGCCCGGGATGGGAACAGCCTTGGTTTCCTGGTGAGTGAGTGGAGAGGGGGGTGTTTGGCTCTGCCAGGAAAGCACGCTTAGCCCCAAATCTGGTGTCGGGCAGGGTAGCGCTTGGCCTGCACGGTGAGCAGTGCCGATAGCGCCTGTGACCTGCAAGTCTTTGAATGCCTCTCCGTTTGTCACCTCCGTAGGAGGAGGATGCACGCGATGCTGATGATGGTGACAACGGAGAGCACCGCGGCACTGGAGTCAACGGGCTTCCCTCTCACGCTGGCGGGCTCCTGGATGAGGAGGACGAAAGTGGAGATGACACCTTCGATGAGAACGGGGAAGAGGAGGGGGGCGAAGGCCCTACTTATGTGGCTGGTGCTGACAGGGCAGGTGAACGCGGCCACGACGCTGGCCGTGGGGACGTCGGGGCTGGCGGAAGGCACGGTGACAGCAGCAGCAGTAGCAGCAGCGAGAGCATCGGGGCAGACCACCGGTGGTACAGGAACTACCTCGGCAGCCGCTATGAGCGGACCGGGGGGGGGGGGGAAGCACCAGCAGCCAGGAGGAGGAGGAGGAGAGCTACGACTTTGAGGACGAAGCCATGCAAGGCGATGACCCCTCCGTCTTCGACAGCCCAGGCAGCAGCTACAAGGGACGCCGTGCTGGCCCCCGTGCCCTGGGGAGCAGCCGAGAGAGTGGCCGGGGGGTTGGCTCCCATCGCTGGGAGGAGGACGACAGCAGGTCCCCAGAGGAGGAGGATGCTGACTCGGGAGAAGATAGCCCGTCCACGGAGGACAACAGTCAGTCAGAAGAGCCCACCACCAGCCAGTCAGAGGAAGACAGTGCCAGCCGCTCCGAGGAGGATGAGGATGAGGAGGACAGCCCTTCCAGGGAGGACACCGCCGACCAGTCGGACGAAGAGCCTGGGGAGTCCCCAGAGGACATCTCCCGGTCACAGCGGGTGGGCGGAGCGCCAGCCGGTCCCGGGAAGAGCAGGAGGACCAGGCGTCTCCCGAGGACAGGAGTGCACCATCCATGCCTGACAGCCAGTCTGGGGAAGATGAGGGTGACCAGAGCAAGTCCGAGGAAGATGATGGTGACCAGAGCCAGTCCACAGAGGACACTCTGGAAGAGTCAAAGGAGGACGAGAATGACTCCAACCCCGATGGGGACGTGCCGAGCACATCGACTGAGAGCCAGAGCGCATCCCCGGAGGATGACGGCAGCCA